CCAAATATTTCTACATTTTCTAAAGAAAAATCACTACAAAGTCTTAAAAATAAAAATAAAATTTATATATTTATATGTCGGTTTGGTTCAGGTTTTTTTACTCAATACCAAACCAAGTCAAACCAAACCTAGTCGGGTTTTTTGATCGGTTTGGTTTGGTTTTTCGGTTTGGTGCGGTTTTCCGGTTCAGTTTGAACACCCCTAGTCGAAGGTTCATGACCTATCTCTATTTCACATTTTTCTACTTCCAAATCTACAGATTTTGGTTAATTTATTCGGCAAACTCTGTATGCTTCAATTTTTAATATTCATTTTTATTATTTCTGTCACACCTCCTTTTCTCTACACCTGTGAGGGCGCAAAGGAGTTTTTCCAATTAAAGGACAGTCGGAACGGGATTTATTATTAATATTCAGAGTCGCCACTTGGGAGATTAATGGTGTCCCAAGTCACCGTTTGAATCCCGATCCGAGGAAATTATGACTCTGTTAACAGTCCGCGAACCAGAACTCCGAGTAAGGAATTCTGTTAACGCGGGAGAAGGTATTAGGCATTCTCGGATTCCGTGGTTCTAGCACGGTCGCTCAACTGTTGTATTTGCTTTTATCTGATTTTAAAACACATTCTAACCTATATGCCTTTTAGTAGTAAACCGTTTTTATTGTTATTTTTCATAAGAATTGCAACGTCGTGAAAATGCGTCTCGAACCACGTCGCACCAGTGCACCCGTAATTGCCAACACATTTCAACTTCGTTGAGATTTGGATTTGGGTCACATAAATGTGCACCCACATTTAGGAAAGTAATATTATTAAAATACGCGCCTAAAGCAACTACGCGTTTATTATCTTTGAGGAAGACCGTGAAATTCGCTAAACGGTCCGCCCGAATTCTAAGTATTTTATATAACATTTATTGAGGGCCCTGCGATTTATGCATTTTATTTGGCGGGGCTCACCTCGTTTATCATTTAAAGGCAAACCTAAAGCAATCTATAATTTTCTATTTTTATTTGTCTCTAATAATAAAAGAAGAAGCCCTAATTAATTATTATTGTTCAAATGTCCATGACTTTTATAAGAACTTCATCAGTTTCCTTTATGCCTCAAGCTTAGCCCAGGAAGAATACATAACCCAACAGATTCGTGGGGTCTCACACGATTTGATTTCAGCCCCAAAAATTAACAAATGGGCCTAACAATTTGCAAGCTCAAAACAGCCCAGATTTCATATCAGCGTTGGATTTAATATCACAACCTTATTACCTTATTTATTTACCTACCAGTGACTTCTTAGCTATTCAAATCAGTCAAATTGATATTGCATACTTAATTCAAGTGAACTACTAATATTAACTACTGACTTAGAATTGTCAATGCACATTGAAACAATGAACTCAAGGAAACGCATGCCTCGACATTAATAACTAATATGCTTATATCAACTACTGCATTACGAAGTTGTTCAAGACGCACGTTCAGCTTAAAATTGAACTCGATGTGGCCATCACATTGATTTCAACTTAATTGCAGGTTTAAACTACTTCTGATTTTTAATTTTAAATAGAAAAATGCTAAACCAAAGCAAGTACTAGCTGTGCTAAGACTACAGCTAAGTAACCACAAATTTAACTGTCCAAATCAGTCCAATTAAGTGCATACCAAACCTGAATTATATCAGACACATACACACTAACTAACATATTTCTAATTGTTAATATACACAGTTCAAATGAACACGTAGTGTGACGCAGAAAACGTGAACATGCTCATTTCTTTTCTATCTCCACAGTTACATCAGGGTGATTCTGAGATGTGTACCTGAAGAATGAATCAAACAGAAAAGGAAGAAGTCAGCAGCAGTAACAATTCCCAGCAGTAGTTCAGGAACGAGTTTAAAACCCAGCAGCAATCAATAAATGAGTATAATAGCCCAGAAAGTATTCAGCAGTTCAGGATAAGTTGGAAAACCAAGCAGAATCCACAGATCAACCCAAAATAGCACCAAATAGCCAGAAATGAACCCAGCACTAATACAACCAGTAAATAACCAACAATCAACTCGAACTAAGCAAATCTCATGCACATCTGACTCGAACAACTTGTAAATATCAATGTCGAGCAAAATCAGATGAGTTCAAGTTACTTCTGATCCTTAATGAGCTAGAAAATTGGATTAAGGACTGGAATCTGAAAGTGAGCTAAGGAGAAATTAATGAAACAGTAATTTTTTTTGATTTTCTGTTGTTTTTCTGGAAATTTGAGAAGACTAAGATCTAAGGGAGTTGGATTTCAAATTTCAGATCTGAAACTTGTGAGGAATCGGAGGGAAATTTTTGTGAGGCTCCCCTCTCCTAAATGAAGGCAAAGAAATGCCATTTTATAGGCACAATGAGGTGCAGCTTCAGATTTTTAGTTTTACATATTAGTCCCTCACTTATTTCTACTTAACCCTCTATTTTCTGACTTGTTACTCAAGTTATCCCACTAAAATTACTGAAATTTACACTAAAGCCCTACTTTGGAAGGTCCTAGAAGATTCTAGTTTTAACCACCACATTCTTGTGCAACTCTGAGTGCCTAAACTACCCCTGAACTCCCCTGAAATCACCAACCTCATATTAATTAACCCAAAAATTAGCCTATTCAGCCATAATCAACCAATTTCAATAAGAAGAGCCTAAAAGTGGATTGTAATCCAATCACAACATAAAAATTAATTCTAACTAAACTGTTAATCTTAAACTAATTTTATCACTGAGCGATTCAATAATTCAGACACGAAACTACACTGAACTAAATCAAATAACAAAATGAACCAGTTAGTCTAAGAAGATGAACAAGATCAAATCAGCAATGTAATAACAACTATGGAATTTCAATCAAACAGATAACCAATGTAATTGGAACCCTAAAACTAAACAAGACCTAGAACAATAGCCACTGCTAATCAGGCTAAAACATGAATTAATCAGTATCTATTTTAAACAACAAGAAATTAGTTGAATTCAAATAACAAAGAAAGAGAAGAAACTTACCTATGCAAAACCGGGAAGAAGACTGAAAAATTGATTCGAGCCCCGGAATAATGTTAATAGTTTGTTCTTCTCAAAGAACAAACGAAAATGTTATTTCGTGATTCGAATCAAATACTAGAGTAGAAAAATCAGGAAAAATCGAGCAAAAATGAACTCCTAGGGTTCTGCCTTCTTTATGATTCGAAATTCGAGCAGTTCCGGTGATGTTTGAAGGAAACCAATGAGGGATTCAAGAAGAGGGGAACCAGGAGAGTATAGGGTGTATCTTTGGGGTCATTTGGTAGCGGCGCCGCCGTGGGCGGCGGAGATAACGATGACGTTTTTGATTATTCGAAAGACTCTGGTGGGATTCGAAGGGAGATAGTGAGGGATTTGTGACGAGGTCATTGAGGCGGTATAGGGGTGTGATTTTGGGAGCCATCGGAGAAGGTTGCGTCTTTGCCGGCGGCGGTGTTGGTGGAGGGTATAAAGGCGGCTGGTCTTTTAGGGTTTGATGTTAGAGACGAATAGGGGGGGTCTGAGAGGGGGGGGGGCATGGGTTCGGACAGTTATATACATATAACTCCTCAGTTCGTGGCCATTGGATTGAGATACATCGACGGACCAGATTAAAGAGAAAGGGAACGACGTCGTTTTGGGTGGGGTGTGGGACTGGACCGGGTTGGGACGTGGGTTGGGCTGGCCTGGGGTGTGTTTGGGCTGGGCAGAATTTAATTAAATGGCCCAAAACCATTTTTTGGGTGGGGTGTGGGAAAAGAACCATTTTTTGCTATTTTCTTTAATTTTTAAAGTAACTTTACTACTAAATAATCCTAAAATGTGAAATTAAATCCTAAATGCAAATGCCAAGTATTTTTTGTGTTTTTTACTAATTAAAATGCACAAATAAAATGCAGTCAATTAACCTAAAATGCCACCAAAAATCCACAAAATTGTAACATAATGAAAGAAATCATTTTGTTAGAATTTCTAGGAATAATTCATGTAGGGCAAAAATCACGTGCTCACAATTTCAAGCTAACAATAACTCTGCGTCAATCCTGACTAAAAATTTTTAACCTACTTAACATATGTTGCAAAAAAATTCAGAAGATCAATAATACACGGGATCAAAATAATCAAGTTAAACTTATGGGGATATATATACTAGCTTATAATATATATGTCGAAAGTTCTCTTTTAGAAAAATATTTTGCATGTAAAGTTATTTTTTAATATTTTGATTACCAGTAAACATTCTTCGGGATAATAATTTCCCCAGTCTTTGAGCAAATACATTGTCCCAACCGCTATTTTAGTTTTTAGTAAGTCCCTCTATCAAGCACTTAGAAAGTACATTAATTTTTAGTATGCAAAAATTTCATCAAAAACTCTCCAATTTGATAATATTATTACTAATATAGTTTTTTTTGAAAATATTTATGAAACATTTTTCATGGGAAAAGATGTTAGCTCTAGAAGAAATGGAGTAATAGCATGTTCGGCCAAGTTTCTACACCAAAAAAGTGCATTTGTTTCAAATTTTAAGTGTTTGGCCAAACTTTAAGAAGGAAAAAGGTATTTTTGGGTAGAAGCGAAAGCAATTCTCGAAAATCAAAAAAAAATAACTTCTCCCCAAAAATATTTTTTTGAAAAGCACTTTTAAAATAAAATACACTTAAAGCACTTTTTATAAACTTGGTCAAACACTAATTGCTGCTAAGAAGTATTTTTCAAATTAATTAGTTAAACACAAACTGTTTCAAAAATATTTTTAAGAAAAAACACTTTTCAAAATAAGCGGATTTTAGAATTAAGCATCAAGACACACCAAGGATGCGACAAAAGTTTCCTGGCTCCCCTAACTAGCAAAAAATGGTAAAGAAAACGCCAACTTCCTCTCTTTTTTTACGTTGTATGGAGGGGGAGAGAGCAGATAATTTCGTAACCAAATCACTACATATATTCAAACATTGCATCACATCAAGGAAAAACATAGGGTCCCGTATAAGATATAATATATATCCTACATTTGAGTTAGCCACTTTCTAGCAAAATTTTCTCTGTATGCACTGGAAATGTACAAAGGGAAACTACCACTGCAAAAAAGAAAGGGGTAAAAACAACGTTTGCCCCACGCACACATGATAAAAGGTAAGCATGCCTCGAGGACTTTCAACGAGCAGTTCCTTAGCTGCTCTTTATACATCAGCTGAAAACTAATCTATAAAAGCAATGACTGCCTTATGAAAACATAGTGGTAAACAACGAATACGAAATGCACTTGTCCTTGCATCTAAGAATGATCCCTACAAGGTCCGCCAGCAACTTGATGTGCCTCCAAACAACTTGCATCATCTACTATTTAATCGCCTTGAAACTCAAAACTCATCAGCATAGGTGCATTTTGCATGTTCTAGATATTAAAGAAAAGATCGATCTGCAATGAGAAGCACCTCTTTCTCTATTTTCACTTCCATTTCAGATCGTTGAGTAGAGCAGTGGTCTCCCTTCCTAAATGAGAGCGCGTGCAAGATATGTAGCAATCTAGCTCCTTGTTGCACATTCTCCACAAAGATGAATTACAATTCATAAGCTGTCTGCTGCACCTCCTTCTCCAACATTGACGTCCCCTTGAATACCGTCAACTGGAAGTCTCTTGAATACTTCAGATACTGTAAAAACAGTTTAAAAGGATATCAATATAGAACTAAGTACTCAGTATTCTTTTTAACTAAATGGAAAAAATAGAAAGGGTAGTAGAGCTAGGGGACTACATCACACATTATTTCGATAGACACAAGAACATTCTTGATAAATAGCAACGGCAAGTACCCAAACTCGACTTTCATCCCCCTGTCCATGACAGGCAAAGGGAGCAACAAAATATAGGACTTGAAAATACTCTAACTAATGCCTTCCACTAACCAATCAGAGTCCTGACCATGGTTTGATCAGTAAGGTTTTGCAATTCTATTGAAAAGAAAATTCAACTCATAAAGAGGTCAACAGGAAGAAAGATGGAAGACAAGACTTTTAAAGCTATGCATGTTAGTATTCCCACGAATACTCGTATTCCCACACCAAATATTTCTACCTTAATACTTTAACGCAGCCTAAACATCCTAACTATAAAACATTCAACGGCTTGCAATTATAGAACATTCAACAGCTTGCAACTGCTCTTGTTCTTAAATTGCCGATGAGATATTGGCATGTGTGTATAACTTGACTTTAAATCTTCACTAGTTTCCAGTGGCCTTGAACATTTTACAGCTTGAATCTATTCTCTCTTTTTTTTTCCATTATCAAATCTATTCCCCTAACTATTAATTGCTATCATCCCATTACACAAAGGAAGTATCAGATAAAAAGAAGCAAAAACAAATGATTGTCAATAAGAATGTTAAGATCCACTCACTCGTTCATCAGTCATCTTTTTGAACCCCAGTTTATTTGTCCAGATGGATTCCGCCTCCTCAGCAGCAGGCAGAACCAGGTTTTTAACATGCATGGAAGATAATAGCATTTCAATACATGCAAATAACGCCTGGAAATAACCCTACAAAAGAAGAAAAACGAGAATCATCAGCTTGTGTTCCACAAGAATTTCAGAATCAATAAGCGTGAAACCACAAATTGAGCAAAGGAGTAAAGTCAAACAAAGCTTACTTTCCCTTGGTTTTCTCTACTTGTAGCCACCAAAGGTAGTTCAGCAACCTCTTGCCCGAAAATCCTGAGAAGACCAGCTGATACAACTACTGACCTGTGGCCATTTAGACACATGATCAGCAAAGCAGAATACTCTGTGTGTATGTATAAAACTCCCGAACCAACTATAAATGCACTTGAGCAGGCATGTATTAGTTTATCATGAAACCAGAAAAATAACTTGAAAATCAGTTACTTACTTTACAGTCAAAACGATGCAATACATTCCCCCAAATTCTTGACCCGAGATGTTTCGCCTACATGAGACAGAAATATAGAAATTAGAAAAGCCAAAATGTCTGCAATTCAAAATACAGCAAGTTTTCGAGTTCTAGCAGCAAAAGGTAAAAGCACAAAAGAAGGCCAAAAGATCCAAGGAAATAATTTGACGAATACCGATTGCAACTTCTTTGACGTAAGCTTCAGACTACTAGATTAAACTAAGTTGGAACTTAACAATCTTCATTACTCATGGACCACAAATTATTCTGCCAAAAGAATTGTACATTTAAGTTGCTAATATGCTGAAATAGCAATCTGCTAAGGAACTTTGCCCACATACTTCACGTACAAATATTTCTATTATACTGGAACCAATTAGTCGTTTCAGTCCTTGGGGGGTTGTTATAGACAGTAGAAACCAATCTCGGCAAGTCTAGAATATTTTTAACTAATCACATGCAAATACTGCAAAAAAAAATTTGAAATGGAAATACTGCAAAATATTGTGCAGTAAGCTCTTCTTACGGTAAAGCATCTATACTATAATGATAAATGCCTAAGACAAGATGATTATACAGAACCAAAGAATCTAGGATGCAAATGAGAATACTAAAACCAAATACCCAGTGACTTAAGAAAAGTTCAAGAGTGTTATCCTAAAGGAGGCTACTGAAAGATCAAACACGAGAAGGATCGTCTCTCAAATTTTCAAATACAGTTCCTAGAAGGGCAGCCCGGTGCACAAAGCATCCCGCATTCAACTCTATTGTTGCTCCAAGGCTCCCCTTCAATACAGTTCAAAGACAAGAAAACAATAAACACCGAGTCTCTAAGAATAACCTGTGTTATACTTTTGATAAAGTAACTTGTCTGTAACACTAGGATTGCAAGCAAAGGAATACTCACCCATAAACCATAACTGGTATAAGATCTCGTCCAGATTTGGCAACAATAGGATCAAAGCACTCCTGCAAAAAAAGACAAAGATGACAATCAAAATAAGGCAAGGAACTTGAACTAGGAAAAGTTTGACACAGAATACAAGGATAAGTTTTAAATATTCAACTAAAGAATAAGTGGGACAAGTGCATATGGAAATTCTTCTCATTACACCCGTTCATGTCAAGCTGCTGTTCCTACTCCATTAAGATTCAATTGTTTTTTTAGAAGAGGAATTGATAAGTAAAATCAATTATCAATAATGCAGTAATTAAAAGGATCTGCCTGTTTCTAACTATGTTGTTGCTGATCAGAATGGCCATTTTGTCAAGGTTTCTTGAGCTCAAGAAACATGGTGATTCACAAGACTAAGTCTAAAGTACAGTTCAGTTATCAATGATAACAGAGGACTGACCCATGGAAGAGAACTTCTGCAGATTGATAGATAATTCTAGAGAAAATACTAGCCTCACAGTTCTATATTTTGGAGTCCGACAAATGGGATAGAAATGTCACAACATTATTGCAATTTGAATGACTCAGGTGGCAAAACAGAACTCAACTTTCACACGCATAGCTTCCGCGCCATGCAAAATTAAGTAGCTTTACCATGAATCTTAAAACATATATGTCCAATTGTAACACAGTAATGTGCAATCTCCATAAATTCAGACATTTATTTTACGCTCTGAGATGTCAAAAAATGATTCCAACTGGTGCTTAATCCTAACAATAAAAAACTTACCCTAAAGATTGTTGCTGCTCTGGAAAGAAGAGGTAGATGCTCCGGGTAGCGACTCTTCCCACTTAAGATTCGCCACTGAATGTCATTTGTAGCTGTATCCATTAAACATTTCTGGACATGCTTCTTAGTTACTGCAGTTGCTGCAGGTGCTGGAATGACCTCAGCTCCCTTCAGAACACAATTCTGAAGTACCACATAAACTTTATTGCAGTCATTGCAACAAAACCATTTATCTTTTGGGAGTTCCTGACAACAATTTTCAAAAGCACTTAAGAGTAATGGACAACATAATCACAGTTAGCCAACACAAGAAAGAAACTACTCACTTTCAGATCACACAACCCACTTTCCCGCAGACACCCAACATGGTATTCTTTCTCACACTGCATATGCACACACAAAAAAAAAAAGAGAAATTGGATACTGGGGGAGATGGAACCATAAGAAACGGGATAGGAAGGGCAAGGTTAAAGACAGCGGTAAAACATCCGTATATGGCAAATAAGGCATACCTGGTCACAGAGCATAACTGTCCGATCATCAAATTTGGCAACGCTAAAGTCTGGGGTCCTAAAAGTATATGGTGGAAAAAATGAGTTCAAGGGTATATACTTACCTCCACTTGTTTGCACCCATTTCAAGTTTTTGAGCACAAGCAAACCCGAAAATATGTGACAACCAAGTCAACAGATCAAATTTCATAATGGCCAGCATGAATTACATAGTGGAAGTGGACAGGAAATAAAATAAAACCCATAGTTTAAGCGCATATCTCACAGCAAGATAACACCTTCAATTTCTTCAACACTATCCAAACTATTTCAAGCTACTCATAATAATGAATCATAGAAGCGGTTACTCCATCTGCAAGTACCAAATCTGATATATGCTAACATTCAATGACAGTATTGCCACATATGACCATTTTTACAAGGTGCATAAAATCTAATGACGAATAGTCATTATATTAAGTTCATTCTTGAAGTGCTACGGAACACCTAAATGCAGACTGCAATGAGACCTACACATGCAGATATTCAGGGGAATGAACCACATCTTGAGAAGAATATTGTTAGTTCTTGCTGTAGAAGAAAGAGAAAAGATGAGCCAACCCCATTGTGGTTTAACCAGCTTTATCGCACTGGACTAGTAGTGCATTAAAATATGTACTACCGACGTGTGTGAAGACCTAAATATATTAAAAATTTCTCAGCGAGAAGATATTTCAAACAAGGTAAACTAATTTATTCATTAAAAGAGATTTAATACTTGGTACTTAACTTTAAAAAATTACATAAATGGAAACTAGGGCTACATAATTTTTAAATGCTTTCTGAAGGACAGCAACTGTGACAAACCTGCAAACAACGCACCCACCACCTTCATACTCCGAAGCTTTAACCACTCTTGTCAACCGTATCATAATTGGTCCTGCATCTCCTGCAGTTTTCCTACCAGGGACAAAATTGTCTCTACAATATGAACAGAGCCAACCACTGGTTGGGGTACACTGTACACCTAAACAAGCTGCAAACATATAGGCTTTGTATGAGCAAAACTTATAAGCACAAGTGAGGTTATTGGGCAGAGAAATTGAAAAAGCTCCCCTTCAGACACGAGACAACAAAAAATCATGCAGTCTAGCTTAGCAAATTTCTTGTAACATGGACTTCATTTATATTCAAATAAGTAGAAGGAGCACTAAATTGTGATTTTAAGATACTATACAGAGCAAACCATGATGTATGTTCCCGCATGTACACTTGCCGTCAGGATTCAAAACACCAAAATTTGAGAAGTATGACAGACACGGTGACCCCATTGCTCACCTGAAGAAGTATTGCAATCAGTTACGGGGAGCCGGTGGCAAAGAAGAGTTGTTGATGGCATATTTTAGAGAAAGCTTGATTGGCATCGCTTCAGAATGGTATATGGACCAAGATGTCTCGCGTTGGCATATTTGGGATGATGTGGCCCGAGATTTTGTTCGACAATTTCAGTACAACATAGACATCCCGCCAGACAGGAATTCCTTGGCGAATCTAAAGAAAAAGCGTTCAGAAAGTTTCCGTGAATATGCAATTAAGTGGCGCGAACAGGCGTCAAGAGTGAAGCCTCCGATGGATGAGGTAGAGATGGTCACTGTTTTCCTTCAAGCCCAGGAAGCAGACTATTTTCAGAATATGATGT